TTTCCAGACCCAGACATTTTTACATTTGATATTTAACATATTTCCGCCCCTGTCGGGACATCAGCAGGGTTACTACGTTATCAACTGTAAAAATGTCTGGGTCTGGAAGAATTCATGTTTGTCATGCTTTTCTGGCATGAGTCTTAAATCTGTGATGCACGTTACCCAAGAGCTCCGTTTTTCTGTGATGCAGAAGCGCAGTTTGTCATGCAGAATAGGCAACACCTAGGAGCTCAGAAACTTGTCATGCTGAGTCAGTATTCGTAGCCTCATCATGAGACGCCATCCAGCATCACAAGTTTCCAGACCCAGACATTTTTACTCTTGATATACGTTCATTCCCGGCCCACTGTTCTACTTGTGGTCCGTCGCAGCTTACCTACTCTACCGCGAGTGGACAACGGCTCTTCTACGTGCTCCTCCGGTGCTAGAAGGAGATGGAACAACGACGAGGACGACCTTGGATAGTTTCAATTCTAGTGGTCATGCCAGTCCGGGATCGTATTTTTTTGTCTCCGCCGCCTCGGCCGCCTCGCACGTGGGCACCACTACACGCACGGCGCGCGAGATGAATCGCGAGGGGGCCCGTTACCGCACACCCTCGAGTGAAAAGCTTCACGCCGAAAACGGTCGTTTCGATGACTGGGCGATCGCGGCTGCGTCGGCGATGCGCACACTGCCCGGATGCAACGCCAGTCACGAATATTTGAGGAACGAATTGCGCAAATACCACCCTTATCAACTGCAAATATGTAGTTATTTGAATGCTCCTCTGGAAGGCGGCTGGTAGTAATATCCTGTGATACAACACGTTTTAGATCATACAAAATGAAATCCCTGTCAAAATGTGCATGGACAGCAAGACTAATAGTCCGTTTCCACCGACACTATCTGGACTTTGTCATGCGGGGTACTAGGCATTGATAAACCTCCTCAAAACCTTTTTCGCTATTGCTATTGCACGTCAGCCGTGGGCTCATAACTCTGTAGAAAAGTCCTCGACGGGCTCTCAACATAACTCACTTCATCAGTGAGTTTATTGCCAGTAACTAGTTATCGACCTGAATAACTCATAACTGTGCGGGGACAAGCTAGCTATCGGGTTCACGCACCCGCAGCTGCAGTTCATGCAGGACTGATGTCAGTGCCTTACATGCTCCAAGATGATCAGAGAGGTCCAGAATGATGTAGATGGGTCTAGAGGATCAGCAGTAGGATCATGAGTAGGATCACAGGTGGACTAGAAAGATCCAGCACACGACGGGGAAATCTGCACGGCGCATGTGGCGTCACAGATGATCGCGAACTCAGGAAAGTAGTAGCGATGTTGTCGTGGCACGCGGGGCCACGCGCAACCATCTCAGGAAATGCCGACACAGGATATTCAGGCCTACTAACTCTCTTCGCAGAGAGAGGTCGATCAGGAAACTCTTGTGGGTCTGTCGTGGCGCGACCAGGCACAAACCACACTCACAACCATGACAATGGACATCAAGGGAACATAGTGCCAGAATGGCTTCAGGTATGAAGCCAGTAGTAGGAAGAATCATATACATTAGAAATCCGTAGTACCATGACCATGAGGGTACCTCGATAGCTTAGGAGTGTTCTCTCTGGTTGTAGGACGGCATGTAATCGCTCACGCGACAGTCCTCGACGTTGGCGCGTCCACATACGCTCTTGCGTTCTTAGTAAACATCCAGAACAAGGCGCATGACAAACACGACATGGAGATGAGTGTACTACAACTTCCACGCCCAGTCAACTACATCTTTGCAATCCATAACCCGCGTCACACGACTGACCAGCAGGTTTTGGGGTACGCCCCAGGACCAGAGACGCATGCTCCAGGAGCAGAACGACCACAGAGGGCTTTGCGCAGCGAAGAAGAAGAAGAAAGAGAAGAAGAAAAAGCCCTTATGTCTACGGCCAGTGACCGGATTGGCGGATCAAGTGACTCCGTGACCAAGGAGCCCACAGACGTGAGCGAGCTGACGAATGATTTTCAGCGGCTGAGCCTGCACCACGCCCGGAATCTCTATCGAAAGCTGCACAAAGAAATCAAGGATGACAGATTAACGAAGCGGGATTTTGCGGCGGGACCTCGGCTCCGCGTGTTAGAAGTTGTAAGCCGACATAAGTGCCGGCGTTTTTTGGAGAGCACGGAGCATCAACGCGCTGTGCGCGAGATCCGGGGTCCAGCGCCGGAGCGGAGCATCTGGCCTTGGGCAGCGGACATGGAGTTAATGCAGGCGGAGGAAGAACAAAAAGAAAAAAGTACAAAACAAAAAGGAAAACCTCTGCCCCTTCTTGCGGAGCCGTGGACGCGGCAGGCCCAGTACAGAAAGTGGGGAGAGACCGGGCCAAGGCCAATGCCGCAAGAGCAGGAGTTCAACGGTCCTGGGGACATGGTGCCAGTGGTTGGAACATCTCGGGGCCGAGATGAATACTACCGGGAAGAAAATCGTAGTGCGCGGGAGAGGAAGGAAAGCAACGCCCACGACCTTGCTCAAAAGGCGCAAGAGGTTGGTAAGAAGAAACTCGCGGAGTTCCGCACGGCGGGCAAATCAATACGGGACGAGCAGCTGGCCGCCTTAGACCAGGAGGCCGAGCACCTGCCCTGCTGGTGCTATCACGTCGAGCACATGC